AACGTCTAACGCCAATAAAACATAATAATAATAATAAAGAAATTGTAAAGAAGAAAGTTTGTTGTTTTATTTATTCATTTACCTACTAATCTTCGTTAAATTATTTAATACTTGTTTATTGCAATATTCTACCTGCAATTGGGTAAGTTACTGCATAATTAATACATTGTTTATTGAAATTAATTTTGAACTAAAAAGGATCAATGTAAGGTGGACTATTAAGATAATGGAATATTAAATAATTTTTAAGTAAATACGTTTTTATGCTTTAGCAAAACAGCAGAAGAAACTATTTACAATATTAAAAGACAGAGCCTGTAAAAAAATAATATATCTCGAGATTCTTCATTAGTCTTTTAAGTTCGACGAAATTCGCACAATTAGTGCAGAGCCAACATTTCTTCGGGCTCAAGTAGTTCCTTTGAAACAAAGTGAGATAAAAGATAAACAGAAATGTGTGTGTATAGCTTCATTATTTTCACCGACGAGAATAAAGATGAAATCTCTGAGAACGTTATTTTAACAATAATTCCCCGAACTCTTCTCGAGTCACAATATATAAGGATTATCCCTAATGGTAAGACAGGATTGCATTCCAACACGTTCTTTTTTAGGAAAATTTTACTAAATATTCTATAGTATAGGTAACGTGAACTATAGGATATTAAGTAAAATTTTCCTCGAAAAGAACCATTTGGAATGCCAGATATAAGAGATTTTAGATTTTCCGAACGGTGGACGTGCTGATATGTGAAATATATCACCCAACAACTTGAAATGAGCTCACAAAAACGAAATATTTTTCATTTATCAACATATTGAATGGCACGCTGATCTTCATTGTTCACACAAGACCCAATCTGATAATTGAATTTACTAAAGACACGGTGCGGTGAGCAAATATAATTCTAGATACATGTATCTTTCACCTCGCTACATCAGCTCTTTATCAGCTGTGCGACTAATGTTTGTGAATGCAATGAATTATACTTTATAACTTGCGATAAGACACGGTATATACTACTATATGTCTACAGTCACCGGGGTGACCACCGCGGCATTCAACGTGCTAAGAACTCGCGGAGAGGTGAAGGGAAGTAAAAGGTAAGAGTACTAGTTCCCGGCCACGCGTACCTAATCTTGAAGATTCTTATCGTTTAAATACGAATATTTGAACTTTCAAAATATAGAAATTATATGTATATATATTTTAAAAATTGAAAATATCTGAACATTTGTATTTGAAGATCAAGACAGTAAGAATGTTTCAAGATTAGGTGTGTAGGACATTTCTACCTTAAGACTCCTGGCTTCTCACCGCGGAACTCTCGATTGATGACGTCAGAAGCGAGAAAATACACAACAAATGTTCTTGCAAAAAAAGCGTTGAAATAAAAAGACATACCCGTAAAATAATATTTGCAATCGATCGGGTACATTTGTGAAATAGTCCGGTGAATTATCGTAAAATTGATAGTGACACGCAACCTACGTTCTCAATCTGCATTTCTTTATAATCTTATCACGTTTATTTTAGTTACTTATTTTAGTTACTTATTGATTGTTAAAACAAAAAGGAAGTGTTCGGACTGTTTCACACATCTCGATCGACTGCGAGTACCACTTAGACACATCTTTCCATTCCTGCGTATTTTGCAAGAATTTTTAACGTGTATTTCCTCGCTCTTCTGACGTTGTAAATCAAGATGGCCGCGGCGAGGAGCCAGGAGCATTGAAGTTTGGACGTAAAGGTATCTCCGCGGATCGGTCAACGGAGAACAGAGTCTCTTCTCAGTCTCGTGGAGCCCACGACAAGTTCATCGCGTGTTCCTCGGGACCTCGTGTCGCGACGCAGTAAGCAGCTGAAAAGTGCAAACGACCATAGCCATAGCGAAGCGAGGGGAAGCCCGACGAAGGACGAGGTCGATTACCTGCGCGATCAACGGAGGAGAGATTTCGTATCAACGCTGTCGATTCGCCGCTGTCGTTAAGGAACGCCGGTGGCATATGGCCGCTTAACGTTTTACGCACGACGTTCCTCTCTTCCTCGCGAGATCGCCGGGGCACACGCGAAGGTCGCCTTTTCGAGTGAACACAAATAATCCGCCTTAATGCGCCGATATGATACGATCGCGGCGACGGTCGAGCCTTTGTATAAGGCGAATAAAAAAAATAAAACAAGAAACGAGACAGGGGTCGCCTTCACCGACTTACTTCGGCCGGCTTCGACTTCGACTCGCGATCAGCATTCGAGGTCTAATTAACCGCGATAATGTGACGCCGCGCTGAGCAAGGTGGAGATCCAGCGGTTTGCATTTAAAATTGTCCGCGCGGGAACGAAATATATTTTTGCTCACTTCACTTTGACTGGACAGAGTTAATTCTAAGGCATGTTTAACGCGCATAACCAATCCGAGAACGTGCACATACGTAATCGACGTGCACGTATGCATAATTGATGAAATTTAACGCGCTTCTTAACGCATCCGATTTGACTAACTAAAGCTGGGGAATGTTCCCGTTTGCCGCACCTGTGCGCGCCGCACAATTACGGCTCGACGAGGAGATTCAACGGGGCGAGCCTCGGTCGTGCGTACGCGTATTAAACGCACGAAATGAACGTGATCGCGCGACATTTTTCTCGATGGCACTCCATCATGGCGGGACAAAAATTCGCCCGGCGCGCACACACACATGTATACACACAATATGCATGTACGCAGGGCTAGGAAGGTTCGCCAGAGACCGAACATCGCAGCGAGAGAAAATGGTGTATAACCTTGCCCGGACGACCTCGATCGCCTTCACCGAGGAACCTTCGGTGTGTGTATGTGTGGTGCAGCCGTGACGACAAATACGCACGCACACATGTGCACGCATCGCGACCGCTCGGTCGGCCGAGAGATCGAGCTCTCGACACGATCGCGAGATCTTTTTCGCGTGTAACGCGAGACGCGCGCCACGTCGTTCGGCGACAACGACGGGGTCGCGAGGATACTCGGATCTCTCTCTTGGGATACGACCTCTCTCGAGAGGATCTGACGCAGATATATATGAAATATGCACGGGGAGAACCTTGCATTACGAATTACTATGGAATTTTTGTGTAGGCGACAGATAGGTCGACATTCTGCTGTAATTGGTTATCCTTTCATTTCGTATGTGTTATTTACATTTTAGGGACTGCGGAATGCGCCATTAAATAATTTCCCAGCGAAATCTGCCACGTGTCACTTGATACAAGACGGATCTTATTGAGTCTGTCCCTCTGTTAGTAAAATTGAAAAGAATTTCTACGAGAGAAAAGAAAAAACTACAATATTTGCCCCGTATAGAGAGACTGTAATAATGGAATGCGCCAGATGCACGCGAAGTAATTGCAATAAGAAAAAAAGGATAAAAAATTGAAATTGTGTCAAACTTGAATTGCACGAGGATATTTTATTCCATAGATATATAAGATAATGCTAACATAGATATTAATTAAAAATGATAATGATCGATCTGTGACGTGACTCGCGAGGAGTGCGCTCTCTCTCTCGATTGCGCAAATTTAAATTCGCGTGAGGTAAGATGTTAACGTGAATATATAATTCTACGTGATTACCAGATTACGTGAGTGAATTAAGGAAATCGCGACGTTGACGACAACGACGGCGGTACAAGCTTTCTTTCTCTCGCACGCTCGTCCTCTTACTCTCACTTTTTTTTCGCCTAAAGAAAATTTCACCGTTCTCCGCTCCGCCGGCTTTGCCACCATCCTCCCCGTCCATCCGACAGGGGGATTTCATGTGCGACGAGATCCGACGGAACCTTTTACCGCGATCCATTTCGGCCACGAGGGAATTTCTGAGAATCACGGATGTGCACAAGCCGATTCGCGCGGCCGCACAGCGAACAGTGAAGATAATTAACTCTCGCGTTGGTTTCGCGATAATTATCAAAGCCGGAAAAAGTCATTGGCGTCGTCCATACGCGTAGCATCCATAGTAAATGTCAACATCATTGATGATTCATAGAATAATGATTCATAGAAGCGTGCTCGCACACGCTACATGGTTGAACGTTTTTGTGAACGATCAGAACGATTGATAAAATTGAGAGAAAAAGAGAATGCTGCTAATTCTTTTTTTTTCAATGAGTTTCGGAAAAACTCATTCAACCGACGAGCTAAAAGATCTTGTTTGCAATGCAAGCTGCTCCCGCAAACGATGAAGCATTCCTCAGTACTGCCTTTCACTTCATTTAGCTTATCGTTCTGTATACTTTTCCATTTTTTTTTGTTATCTCTTTTTAGCTCTTTAAACTATCCTTTTGTAGTTTGATACATATCTACATAATATCTTCTATAATCCTAACCGCAGAATATACATATCCTATACATATCCTATACATATCTATCTCAGTTATAAGTCGAAGAACGTGTTTAGTACGCGGAGAGAATTTTATAGTGCAAAATTGCTGTAGAACTTTGTAATAAATTGACATTCTGCAGTATCTGACTCTATACCTTCATTTCATGTGTAATATTTATATTTTAGGGACTGGAATGTGCTATTAAAAAATTTGCTGTGTTTCTTGCGAAACATGCTACGTTCTTTAGTAAGGTAGACCCTGCTGATAGTCTACTTTTATGCGGAAAAAAGAATCTCAGTTTGTGTAACTGAATGAGGACCAAATGGATAAGAGATAATTTTTCTGTTATCGTGACCACAACATATTCAGTTGAACATTCAGCTGCATTAAAATTCGGTTGAGATATAACTGAGAACAATTAAGCTTCCTACACAGGAATCTTTTTATTCTTACAACCGAGTTTTTCGTCTGGTCCCCAGATAACAGAAAATTCAGCTGCACCAACGGAGTTGCTTTTTCCGTGTACATTACTAAAAAGATAGTGAAATTGAGACAGAATTTATGTAAAAAAAAAAGGAGAACTATAATATTCTCTTCGTGTAAGGTCTACCAAAATATTGAGAGAAAAAATGATTCTCACTCACCCCTTCATTTCCCGCGACTTGGATAGTTGGCTTCTTCCCGATCGAATGCTGAAACAGAGAAAGGTGTGAACGTTAGTTTTTTTCCTGTGTACAGGTTACGAGGATGAAGGCGCGAGAGATACGCATTTAGCATTTAAACACATTGGAAAATCGGGAATTGTCGCTCCGGAAAAATCGCACGGAGCGAATGCTCACGTGTGCAATTTCTGCGCTAGTGGAAAATTCCTCGACCATTTTCGCGTTATTTACTGCGCAAGTGAACTTGAGGACTATCAGAAAGAGATACCATGGTAATGAAGCGCGGAAGGACATCGGAGGAGGAACAGTTGTCGGGGGAATGATTGCCGGCTCGGTAAAGTATTCGGACGAAAGGCGAAATCACGTCACGATGAATTTCGGCCGCGGGCGTTCAATCGCGTGACGCATTAAAATCATTAATTCGAGTTAGCCGATTAGCGTAATTGCATGACTGGTGCCGATTGCCCGCACGGCTCGTCAAGCTTAATCACACACGACGCTCGCCGAGCGATGACTAATAATTAGGCAAAGGCGAGCGAGTGAACGTGCGAGTTCCTAAAATCGTAAAACACGCCGACGGCCTTTTTCGCGTCCGCGCGATCTCGTAACCGGCGCGAGAGTTGCATTATGCCGCGATTTTGCGTGTAACTTTTACGCACGCGCCTCTGTCTCCTGGCGATCGCTCGAAAAGGGAAAGTCCGCCGGTAAGAGCTTCGGGGGAGGAGAGGAGGGAGAGCTCGCGGCCGCGTGAACGGTCGAACGCGAAACGAGGAACATTGTTCGACGTCGGAACAAGATACGTGGATATACAAGTGAGGATGAATGTGACAGTCGCGAATGCCATCCCGGATAAAACAAGATTTTTCCCAGAGAAGGGAAGCATGGTTGATGGGGGAGAAATTGTTAAAAAAAATAAAATAACAATAAAACAATCGTTGTCCACGAGACACGATTGTTGCGAGAAAAACAAAACCGCTGCGTTCACGAGTTGTGGTTTTCGAAGGAAACCAAAAAATCACTGTAAAAAACGCGTTCACGAGAGAGAGAGACGCGATTTTTATATTTTTTAACAATTCCTCTCTACCAACGGTACTTTCCTCTTCTGCAATGCATCACATCCTCGCGCTTTCTTTTACCTACGATAGGATCTCATTCGTGACATAAAAATATCAAATGCCTGGACACTAATAACACTGGCAGCTGACTTTGGGCATTCTGTTTTGGTCTCTCAGCACGAATATTTCGTCTTTCAACGTAGAGTACATGCGCATGTTCAATATGTGTGTATATATTCGATATTGAAAGTTTAAATATTCGTATCCGAAAAGACGAATAAGAATGACGATTAGAATGTCGATAAGAACCAAAACGATAAGAATGTCCAGAGTTAAAAGTATCAGAGTTATCAGTGCTCATAGATATCGGTCTTTTATTCTGTAACAAGTATACGTCTCTGTACCAGCGAAAAGAACCCGGAGTTTCGCTTTAGTCGTACGTACGAACGAACCTTACGCGGTTTCCACTCGTCATCGGCTCGCGGATGTGCGCGAGCGAGACACGCGAGGAAATTAATTGGAAGATCGCGTTTAGCATCGGGGGTCGGCCGAGACTGACCCTTGCCGGAGGTAAGTCGCGTATAGTGAGCGTCGCATTCACGGCAAAAAATAATTTCCTTCTTACACGTTGCGCGCGAGTCATCATCCCGTAATTTCGCGTACACTTTCGTCTCTCTTTCTTTGATTATTCTCTCACAAGCGCGAGAGAAATCGAGGAAATTAAATTTCGCTAACTGCTCTCCACACTCAGAGAAAAAGACATGGTGATGGCAATTATAGAGCGGCAACTGCACGAGTTTTCTATGTAGAAGTAATGCGTACATGGAGTAAGTAAATGTAGTAAGAGTTATCACGTTTATGATCATTTTTACTATATTTCATTATAATTTTTATAATAGTGTCAGTCTATTCCCGGACTAAAATTGTATTGTAATTTTTACTACAATATTCTTCCTCTGTACACTTCAATAAACTATTTTATAGTTATTGTCACCAAAGCTTTAGTTGCAGGATATTGTTTATTAGGTAATAAAGTTTATTAAATTGTATGTTATTGTTTACTAAATTGGTCCTGGACTAATGTCCAAGAAACAAATGTCCAGGATTAAATAGTGTCCGGGAATTGATACTTCTGCCTTGTCTCTCTCTCTCTCTCTCTCTCTCTCTCTCTCTCTCTCTCTCTCTCTCTCTCTCTCTCAAATGAAAGAGAGAGACAGACAAGGTAGAAGTATCAATTCCCGGACACGTATCTCTCACTTAAATGAGAGAAAGAGAGAGAACGATGACAAAATTTCTCTCCAGAGAAGTTTACATTTCGCGAAGTAACGACGGACGGGCGAAGGGGGCGAGAACGGCGGTCCGAAGTCGCGGGAAAATCGTAGAAATCGCACGTAAAGCGAGCCTCGTAAACGAGCCATGCGTTCTGAATCTATACACACACGCGTTGTGTGCGTGGCGTCGCGCGTTGCGTTGTGCCGCGCGTGTGCTTTCACTGATCCGCCGACGATAATTCCTCGTCGGGGAAGTTGGAGCGACGAGCGACGGCGGTTACACTTTGGTGGCTCGCGGGAAAAAGCGACGGCGACGTTAGACACCGAGGCCGAGGAGAGTCCATTACGGCCGGTGGCCGAGGATTTTACGAGCGGCGGCTCTGTCACGCTCGCATGACAAACGGAGTGTCGTGCGATCCCCGTGGGCTGGCTCTACCCTGGGACTGTGTACGGCGTAACGCGCCGAGCAATTATTTTCACGGCGTTACGTAAATACGACGGAATAATCAAGCGTCGCCCGGCGCTCGCTTTCACTCAATAAAGGGATCCAATTACAGTTTTAATTATTCTAATAATCACCTTGCGCGAGAGATCGTCGGTATTCGAAAGCGCGCGCCTCGAGTCACCGTCGTCATCGTTTTCGACGTTCATTGTCCGTCATCGACTTGGGCTGCACGCGCCCTAAAGGAAAACATTTAGGGGAACATCTTCAATTCGGGAAAATACTCGAAACGGAAGACTGTCCGAAAAGGTCTCGACAAACCTTCTCCAACGCACGCGAACTCAAAGCCGTCGTTGTCGTTTCCGACATTTCCCATCTATCCGCAAACATCAATTTCGCTGCACGCGGACTGCATCCCGGAGGGAACATCTAAATTCTGATATCCTTTGATCTCGACGTTCGGAGAAATATTCGAAACACACGGAGAGGACTGTCCGCGACCAGGCTTTAACGAACCTCCTCCTCCTCCTCCAACGTGTGCTCAGCAATCTAGGATTAACGGGAGTCATCGACTGCACACACGCGTGCGCGCATTCACGTGGTGCTAAGAGCACAAAGTGTTTCCCTTTGAAAGGGGGACCTTTCTCCCCCGCGGTGTGGTATAAGTGAAATTTCGTCGTCGCCACCCCGCCGCCGATGCGGGGGTCGTTGGCCTCGGCAACTCAGCGACGGAAGTGGTAGACAGGGTTGAGAACAAGAGAGAAAGGGACGAGAAAAAGAGAGAGAGGAAGAAGACAGAAGGACGGATGAGGAAGAGGGATGAGTTTACCGCCCGATGATTAAATTCATTTAGTCCGCGAGTTTACAAGTGGCGTACCTATGCTCGTTGTAAATGAGACAAGGGTAGACGTCTGAAGCCGCGGGGTGCGCGATTTCGACTGTCGTCCCCGGAAAATTACCGGCAGGCTTGAGACGCGCGCGCAATGAGTATGAAATCAAAATTAGCAACGAGCTTAGGTTGCCGAGTCGAAATTTTAGACCTACCTACTCTTTCGACCAGAATCTTTCGATATCAGCATATTTTGAAGGATCATGTGTGTTCGATCAGGTGAAAATTGAAGTCTCACTTGACGCCTCTAAATGGCAAAAGACAAAATGCCACTTGTAGATCCTAAAGAGGCAAAGTTAATAGGTTGAATGGAATGAAAGGAAATTGATATATATATATATATATATATATATATATATATATATATATATATATATACTTCAGAGTATTGAAGTGGTTAAATGGAACATTTTTAAAGTCGAAAGTAAGATCAAAATTTCGGGTTTAGGTTATAATTCACACTTATATCGTTATAACATAAGAGACATAACTGAAACCAAAGTGTATATGTATAACGTGTGTATTCAGTAAAACTGCATCGATCGAAGAACGAGAGAGGGTGACTCATTATGCCGCGCAACGTTCTACTTTGACGACAACCCGACAGTCTCGCGTGCCACGCGAACGACCTCAAAAAGGTCCTTGCGAGCAGTCGCCAGCCAGCCAGCCACCAGCCAGCCAGCCACCAGCCAGCCAGCCACCAGCCAGCCGTCTCTCCCGAACAAGGAGTCCCACCCACCGCGGCAGGTCAATAACTCTTCGTCCTGGGCACAACCCCGCCGCGCCGACTTCCCCTCGTCTCTTACGCATCGTGCTTCTCACCCCCGACGGCGCGCGTTCCTTTATCCCGCTTTCTACCAAAATTGGATCTCCGGCCTGGGACCCCATCGCGTTAACAATAGCTCACCGCGCCGCATCGTCTTCGTCCTTCGTCCTTACCCGCGGTTAATTCCGCCTTCGTGTGTCCCGTGTCTCCGTCTCGTCTTCTCGTCTCGTCGCCGTCTCTCGGCGATCGATTTCGTCCAGCGAAGCGAGTCCCCGAAATTTCCTCGCGAGTCGATCGCGCGAGTTGTACGCGTGAGCCTCCTGAGGTAAAAGTACCAATGTCTAGACACTAATAATACCGGTACTTGGCTATGGATATTCTTATTGTTTTGGCGCTTTTAAGTACAAGTATTTAAACTTTCAATATCCATATAAAATGGAATGTCTGTCTACATGTTCTCTATACACTTTTAACCCCTTGATTGTTAGGAGAAAAAATGCTTTTGACAAAATTATATAAATGTTACTTTCTGCAAATATAGTATCCCGTCCCACAATTGTCTCGTTATAAGTACCTTTTTTGAATGTGCGGATATTTCCGTCATTGA